GAGTCGCCAGCCCCACCGCTGGACCTACCAGTGGGCGAAACAGTCCCGTTAGTGAACACGCGCCCGGGCCAAATTTCATTACGGGTGAAAGAGGAAGAATACACAGGTGGTTGTGGGTGGGGGGAGGGCGTGTTGTTTTTGTAAACACAGCCTTACGTCCCATTCATTACGGACACCGAGGCATTTATGGATAGTTTTCGTAATGCTATGGAAATTTTTTGCTAACGTAAGCTATTACCCATTAATAACTTTTGTCTTTTCCAGTATTGAAATAGTTATTTGATAACTCCTACTGCGTCTGGTCGATGAAACATAACCCCAGTAATGAAATTAAAGCGTTTTTTTAGTGCCGCAGTGTATGTAGAATCCGAGATAGTATGTGTCTTTTCCCCAACACACATTTCGGGGGAAAATGAGAAACCCCTGGGTATGAATGAGGCAGGCAAAAACCGACGCAAAAACCAAGCACATAAGATAGGGACTCACCTTGGGGAAAAACGATGCAGCGCCTTTCCAGTTTTTGTCTTATTTTTCCCCTCGTTGGCTTCCCATGTGAAGCCAATGGGGAATTCCGCTGCAAGCCAACCGGAACCTAAAGAAGAAAAGCATGACTGGCCGATCCGTTTCCTCCTGAACGCTGATTTTGGTCAACCATGACCTCAGTGTGGCAGTCAGCAAATGAGCGCGCCGAAGGAAGCTGATTGAGCAGTCATGCTTTTCTTCACTAGGTTCCGGTTGGCTTGCAGAGGAATACCCTATGAGGAAGTTGCCCGATAAGAGGAACAAGAAAAAAAGTAACACTGAGGAGGTGGCGTGGCGTAGCGCCGTCCTAAACAAAGCAGAAGATGGGATACATGTCGTTAAATTTCAAACAGTTTAGAATTGGCCTGTGCATCTAGCACCTAGGTACCACCTGTACCAAAGTGTATTACGAAAGCTGAGTTTGAGTTAAAATAGTACCAATGCAATTTGTCCGTACACTTACCTAAACAACAGCACCGGGGTGGTTGAGAAGATTGTGGAAACTTACTTTTTGAAACGAAACTTTGCAGAAGCACTTTTTGACACAAGATTGTTGCGCTGGTCTATTTTGGAACCAATTTTTTTCTGTGTGAATTCTACAAAACACATCCACACATCACACATCCACTTTTTGTTACAAAACACAGTATGGTCGCCGGCGTTCTGCTTTGTTTAGGGACGGCGCTACGCCACGCCATCTCCTCAGTGCTACCCTCTTTTTTGTTCCTCTTATCGGGCAACTTCCTCATAGGACTGGGTGTATCTTTTTTCCCCACACAAGTGTCTCATATTTCCCGTGCACTTCTAGTTACTCGTACTGTCAGTAGAATTATAGGCAGGGCATTTTGAAAAAGTTCTCCGTTGACAAGACATCGTCGGCTGAGCGATTAGCGAAGCCTATTACTCCAGTGGTGATCAAAAAGTTCTGCGTCTGTCCGTCTGTCTGTGTGTGTGTTTGTCACGATGATAACTCGAGAACAGTGTAAGATAGGAAGGTGAAATTTTTCCTGTAATTTTGTATCATAAAAGCAAGATCTGTATAGATTTTCAAACCTGTAGCTTAAAAGTTGACCTGTTAAAAAAATCAAAAGCAAAAAGGCCCAAAATATTTATTTTGAAAAATATTTTTTCTACATTTTCTAAGAAGTAACTCGTCAAAGTACACTCTGTAATAGGGCCAAACTTTCGTTCACTTTGCTCTATCTCTAACCATTTAGGCGACAGAGGGCGATTTCCGCACGGAAATAACACCAAAACATTTAAATGTTTTTTCTCAGATATTTGATGGTCTGCGGCGGGGTTACTGTCAAAATAAAATCCCTAAGGGCAAAATTTGTGAGTTTTGCGGCCAAAGGTTTATTTACGACTCTGCCTTTTGCCCGACTCGGGTGTCAGCGCCGCAGGCCTAGGTAGGTGCATGTCAGGCGCGCCGCAGTGTAACAGTGTTTCGTGAGATATCGCGAAGCCTGTTACGCAGGACGTGGTCTGGCGTACATCTACCTAGTTGTTATTTGAAATCCATTGACAAGAAAGGGTGTGATGATGAGCATCGTAAAAACAAATTTTTGGCTGAACGATTAGCGGAGCCCATTAGGCCGCGGAAAGGGTCCGCGCTCTCTGGCACCTTCCTCTTGCCGTGGTTGTTGTTGGGGCGTAGCGGCGGCGTGTCGCAGCGTTTCGTGAGACATCGCGAAGCCTGTTACGCGCGACGTGGTCTGGCGTTCATATAGCTGGTAAAAATGAGGTATCACAAAATATATTGTATATTGACAAGGTAACATACACAGAGCGACTGTCCTGAAGACTGCTCTTTACAAAGAACTACTGCGGTTACGTGTTCCCCCACACATACGGGCCGTAAGTCTCCAGTGAGTGTTCAAAAGGGGTCTCGCGTTTAAACTCGGATATTACGCGCGCGCCCTAGGCCCTGACTAGGCCGCGCGCACACATACAGGGTGTGGACGGACGGTAGCGACGCCCGTTTGTCTACCCCATATTTGCATGGAGGTGACGTGACGCTCCCCTTCTCTTTGGTTTTTACCACCATCAACCCGATAACACGGCCAGCCGGGCCGGGCAAACGCACTCCGCTCAGCCCCCCCCCCCCCCACTCCCCATTTCTTCTCCACCGCTTCCTCTCTTCCACCCACTCCACACACGCACACGCACACTAGTGCGTCTAATGATTTCGGCACCCCTACGCACATCCTCACGCACACATACATGGGCTTGAGCGCTTTTAGAACTCGCGGGAGGGCCTGAGAGAGCCCTTTAACACAAGGTCGCGATGGGTCTACCGTTAGACTCCTTTAGAAAAATTCCTTACAAACGTTCTGAAAATTTCGAAGGATGCCTAGTCAGATCTCTCAAACAATGTCTGTCAAACTCGGTTCGGCTCTGATAGTTGGCCAAAGCGTTACTTTAGTCTTCGGTTCTCAAGGGGAAATGGCGTTGCCCGAAGACTAAAGTGACGCATGAGAATCTCTCAAAGTGTGTACTTTAAGAAAGCATACCGGTAAACCTAAAATGAAGAATGCGAGGAAGAAGAAAACGGAAACCACTATGCTTTTACATGAGACTTCCGTTTTCTTGTTCCCTGCAATCTTCTGCATTTCAGCTTCACCGGTATGCTATTGTGGCCACTTCCCGAGTAATTTAGGGCCTGTCGACCGCCCCCCTCCCCCAAATGATCCATTGCGGTACAGCTGGAATACAGATGCAGTAAACATCAAAAGGTCACTATGATTAAACATGGTCACCTCCTTTTTCTTGTTTCCCACTTTCTCCGTCTTTTCAGCCTTATCGGAAGGCTTTATTTAGGAGTGGTTCACTGTTAACAAAATTGTTGTAAATTAAAAACAAAACCTCAGCCGCCCCTCAACCTTTCCCTCTCTTCATACGTTGCTTTCCATTCTTCAACCACCCCTTTCTCTCCAACTCTTTCTTCAACCTTTTATTTTCATTGCAGTAATGCTGAATTAATGCTGTTTTCTTTGTCATCTACACAGGAATTATTCAATATCTTTCTGTATTGTTTCGGACTTCAAACTATTATTATTCAACGGGCTGTCCAGCAGCTCAGATTCCTTCTCTAGGTAGTTGAAAGCCTTTCTTAAATGCTCTTTGTCCTGTGCTAGCTTTTCAATTTTTATTTTTTTTCAATGCTGGAATTGATCGTTCTGGAAACATCCCTTTTAGTTGGTTCCAGAACACATCTGGGGTCCTTTCTCCTTGTTCTCAAGCGCGAAATCAAGGATTTTTATCTTCTTTTGTTGTGTACCTGATGTTCTTTGTCGGGTTTAACTTCATCGCCGCCATATCCTGCCATCTCCTGCCATCTCCGTGTAGGATGACGCCTGGGTCGAAGTGAGATGAATAAAGGAACTTGACGTTCATACTTTAGTCTCGGAGTTCTTCAACTGCACCTTTTCAGGTAACCATTAACGAGCATCAGCTGCTTCCATTTTCTCGTGGAGGTTGCGCTGGTACTCAAATTCTGTTGACAAGTTCAAGAACGGTTGTGATGGCTGCTGCACCTGCACCTCAACCTCTCCAAACTCCTCGTCATCATAGTCCTCATCATCATTTTTGTTGTCTTCCAAGTCTTCATTATCTTCAAACTCAATTTCAGGTATGTCAACCATAACTATACCATCATCTTCATTGAGTGACACTTCTTCTGCAGAATTCATTAATGCCTCCAGATTAATGAAATTAAAAGTGTGATCATTTTTACAGTTTCTTCCTTTTTCTTTTGTGGACAGGTCATTAATTAGTGCAGTTGCATAGGCTGAGGAGTTATATTTTGCACATGGGCGATGCCCTCCAAGGGATCTGGTACGCTCATTGAAATTCTCCAGGCAGTCAGAATTGATATAGGTTGTATTCACGAGACCAGCCGGGCGGTGCCGCCGCCATGACAGTGGACATCCGGCCCCACCTCCCATATGCCAGCGTGCTCTTTTAATGGCGTTTACGGGTCGTGTTGTGCGTAGTGGCCGTCAGGATTTTACTTTTGTCGGTCGAAGCCATTATTTATACCCACTTAAATCCGATATTTAGTCAAATTTTCGCTTATTTTGGCTCAAAACAGCTTGCGTGTAGCTGAAGCAACGGCTTGTTGTCGAAGACTGGAGAGCTCATTCTTACCCCCTTCACTGATAAACCAAGTGTACAACTGCTCAACACTTGCAAGTGTACAACCACAAGTTCCATACTTGCAAGTGTTCAATTCAGTAGTAGTACACTTGCAAGTGTTAAACTCGGTATTTGTGCACTTGTAAGTGTTCAACTCTCCTGTTGTACACTTCACTAGATCGGGTGCTTATTGTGAGGGAAGTGTTCAACAGAGGAGTTGCACACTTACAAGTGCACAAATACCGAGTTGAACACTTGCAAGTGTTCTACAACTAAATTGAACACTTGCAAGTGTTCTACAACTAAATTGAACACTTGCAAGTGTTCTACAACTAAATTGAACACTTGCAAGTATTGAACTTGCGGTTGCACACTTACAAGTGTTGAGCAGTTGAACACTTGGTTTATCAGTGTTGGTTTGGTTCAAATTTCACAAATTAAGTATATTTTTATGAGTGATGGTAAATTATGCTTCATGACTGCTTATTTTGCCAAAGGCTTGGCTCACAGAAACAGGTCCTCAACTTTTCTCTTTTAAACTTCCTTACTTTTTTTATTTCAGATTCTAGGTAAAATTTTTGGGAACCATACAAGAAAGAAAGGAAATAAATGTAAGGGAAATTGAACTAGGGTACTAACTTCAACTACTGCCAGTGGCGCTCTTCCTTCTCAAACATGGGGATGATGGGTGGGCACAAATTCGAGAGAGCACAGCAGACAACAACTATTTGATCAACGGGTGCGCAGGCTTGTCTTTCTTCAATTTTAAGTGAGTCCAAAGGCATTTTCTGGCTGAGGATTCAGTATTTTCTTCTTACAAGCCCAATGACTCGTTCAACATGAACTCGTACATGGGCCGTCTGCCTGGTTGTGCCTTGTGGAATGATGCCTATGAGGACCGTATTGTGGTTCTTGTAACTTGACCAAGTCCCACACTTTGCGAGCAAATCTGATGGCGTCTCAATAAACAATTCAAAACAATCAATGATGATTGTGACTGATTTGCCGAATGCCCTCAAGAAGCATTCTGGCATTGTTTTTCCGAGGATCTCCCTCTCTGGCCAGATGATAAGACTCTTGTGACGTAGTGACATTACCGCAAGCCATTTTGTAATAATTCTAGTGACAGTAGGCTGAGAACGATATGCAAAGTCTTCCATAAGCAGGTGAAGCCTAAACCGCATCATGACTACCATGAACTCTTGGAATGGACTTGAGGGCATTCCTGTGTGATGTAAGGACAAAGTCTTTAGTCAAGGTGAAACTTGGAATTCCAGTGTAGAACTTAACTTTGTGATCACTTGCCTCAAGAGTTTTTTCATTGATGCTAATGTCTTCAAAATTACTCAATTTCTTCTGAAGATCAGTACAGTGTAATTTTAACTCATCATTTTCTCTTTTCAGAGCATCGCGTTCTTCAGTCACCTCCCTGAGCTTTTGTTGGACAGTGGATAGGTCATCTTCAATGTTTTCAATGTCTTTAATGTTCTCAGTTACCTCTTCCATGTCAGGATTGTTAAGCTCTTCTTCCTGTTGCTTCCTCTTTGTTCTATTTTTTGTTCTGTTATCCCGCTCTGCATTTTTTTTCTTATCTGCAGTTGACAGGTCATTAAACGGATATTGTACTGAAAAATAGCGATTTTCGGCCCAAAAATCAAAAAAAGGTTTTTTTTTGTGTAAAAAGGCTTCTTTGTATCTTCCATCAACCAGCCCAATTCAGGTTTTTGCCTAAAAACACCCTGGATTTCTGGGCAGAGAAAGTTATGGGATTAATCCCGGGTTTGAACTTCAGCTTTCTAAATATTCTTGAAATGCTTGTCTTAGATGGCTTGATCAATGGGAGTGTGGTACCCACGAGGGTCCTGCTTGTGAATGCCAAGTGCAAGAATGTGGTCTTTGTTGTTGTACCGATACCCATGGCAAATTTTGGTTGGCATTCCGTAGTTGGCACAGCAGCATTTTGGAGAACGAAGGGGTGAGTTTATCACGAAACGACTCCAGCACCTCCTCTTCTTTGTTCCTTTTTCATTTCACGAATAGTCTTCACATTGTGGCTATTTTTCTAATCCAGACGCAGCACCCTTTTCCTCAAGGCCGTGGCAATGATCACAAGAGAGTTAGTCACAGGGTTTTTCTCGCCGAGGGGTAAACGAGGTATGATAGGCACTTGGTATTTACTTTTGGAGCCAACACCTGGAGGGAAAAAAAAATAAGTGAGGATTTGTATTGTAGCTGGATATTCAACGGAAAGTGTTGTACCAGGTGGCTGATTCACGCCGCGCACTTCTGTAGTTATGCTGTACTGCATGCAGGAGTGCGGGCGGGCTTGCCTATCGCCCCTGTCCACGGCGCCTTACGAGCCGAGCGAGTAGGCAACCCGCCCGCACTCGTGCATGCGGCACAGCATAACTACAGAAAGTGCGCGGCGTGAATCAGCCACCTGGTACATTTACAATTCAAATTTGTAAATTTACAAGCACTGTGTATCAACTTGAAATCTATTGACAAGCAAGAGGTGAAAAAATTGCCAGAACTCTTTGTGAAATTACGACTCTTCTTCGTTGTCAAAAATTGACAATTTCAGAAATTATTACGATTGGTTCACAACCTTTTCCTAGTAAGAAAGCAAACTGCCCTAATTCTGACTTTAAAGAAGTGTTGTGATTTCATAGTTGCTTTGTATCGTGAAATTGTTGGGAAATCACCAAATATTTTTAACAGTGTAGACAGAAGACAAAAGGTTTAGTAATGGGATAGAAGTGTTCTGCTTACGTTGTTCAGGGTGCTGCTCTGGAGGTGCTCTTGCCTCTTGCTCATCAGGACCATTTTCTAGATCCTCCCTGTTCACTGTCTCAGATGTTTCAGTTTCCATAGTTTCCATAAACGTATTCTGTATGTGCTCAGGTGTTTCTTGTCGACTGCCTAAAAATTCAACAAACAATTATTAATTTTCAATTGTTTGTAAAAATAATGAAATATTATTAACATGTTTATATTTACCATCAGCGGTTCCAGATGCTCAACTGAGTTCTCTACAACTACCACTGCAACAGGCGCCTGCAGCAAGTCATCAGCTCCAAGATCATCTCCATCATTACCAGATGCTGAAATAGTTTAAAATTTCAGTTAATCTAATGCTAGTAATCACATCACTTCATAGAAATTCCAGAAGACTTGGAATGTTATTTATAAGGGAATCAATGTTCTTTAGTATTATATATTTTTGCTCATGATACTTGTGAAGTGCTTACCTAGATAAAGTGATGGAACCGGGTGTCCGGGATAATACGCGGCAGCTCGATGGGTTGCCTACGCACTGGTGTGCAGGCGCGGAGGGCGAGGGGGAGCTGAAGAGGTGGCAGGAGGCAGCCGGTTGCCCCCCGTTACCTCCACCGCTCCCCCCTCGCCCTCCGCGCCTGCACACCAGTGCGTAGGCAACCCATCGAGCTGCCGCGTATTCTCCCTGACACCTGGTACGGCATTCCAGTTTAGCCTGTCCTTCCGTATGCTACTAAAGCATGAATCTTGGAAATGTCGGCACTTTGAACTCATTGAGCTGCTTTGCAGATTTGCCAATAAGTTTGTCATTTTTAATAATATGAACCCAGTTCAGCCTGTCCACCAGAAATAGAGTATGCCAATCACTTTACCATTTCGATTTTGAGTGTCACTTTTATTTTCGGTCACTGTAAATTCCTTACGAACTATAGGTTCGTAATGCAAACCAAAACGTTCGTAGCTTACGAAGGATTTTGAAGCGTTGTATTACGAACTAATTGTGCGTAAGCTTACGAACAAATAGTTCGTAACGCAAACCGATTGTTCGTAAGACCTGTCTAGCCTTACAAACAATCGCTTTGCAATACGAACAATTTCTTTGCAATACAAAGAACGAAAATTGTTCGTAACGTTGCAAAGTATTTAATTCGTAAGCTTTTTACAGTGGTCTTTTTCAAATATGCCAATTTCTCTCCCCCGCCCCTCCCCTCCCTCTCACCCCATATAGTTGCACTATAGTCTCACTGTGGTTGTGAACTTGAATTGATGCTGCATTCTGGGCGTAGACAGATTGCATTGCGTTACCCGCATCGAATACCTTTCACATTACACTTTTCTTTTGCAGTTCATAGTCGAACCAAGTACATATGATCTAAGCTGTGGGTTCATGCTGTTTATAGTTCGCTACACTTGTTTTGGGGTCATAACGCCTGTGAAACGGAGGGTAGGCAATCCCGCCGAGCAGCTCTGTTTAGGGGGCAGTCAGCCCTGCTCTGGCGGTGGCCCTCGCTTTCGATCGCTCACTATGACAAATTTCTTTGTTTTTGCTGTTCAGTTTCGATAACATCTCACTGCCACCGTGTCCTCGAAATTCACCACACAGTTCCAGTCTCGTTCCTCACCGCCTCAATTTGTCTCTCTCATCCCTCATTCGTTCGTCAGTCCCAAGGGGAAATAGGCTCCAAAAATTTGTACACCCGAAGTCGAAGTTCACTGAAGTTCGCTCTGTAAAATTTTATCGAAGTTCACTGAAATTCTCCGAAGTTCGCCGAAATCCATCGAAGTTCCACGGAGTTCACCGAAGTTCAAAATAAGCGTCGAAGTTCCTCGAAGTTCAAAATAAATCTGAGAAGTTCACTGAAGTTCCAAATATTTTAGTACATATTTACGGCTGCACTTTGTCACTTTTGAGTGCTTACTATAAGCGAGTCTCGAGCTTACTTAAAGCAGGTATCTACGGTCCGAATTAGAAAGATTACAGAGGAACAATTTTGCTTTCATATCTCTTGACCAGGTCGAAGTGCGAGAACTTCGGTCGAAGTTCCGCGAAGTTCACCGAAGTTCACCGAAGTTCTCGAAGTTCACCGAAGTTCTCCGAAGTTCAAGGAAACGTACACCGAAGTTCAAGCCTATTTCCCCTTGGTCAGTCCGACACCTACAACGCAAAGACACGTACTTCTACGACCCGAGAGAAGACTGATGTACGATGCCTTCTAATGACAAAGTCCGACGTGTTTCGTTCCCGTAACACAAAGTCCGATGTCGCTTGTCCCTAATGAAAAGCACGCACGACGCTCAGCCGCTGGCGAAAGCACGCACGGCGGAGTGCCGCTGGCAAAACCACTCAAGTGCACTTTTTGGTGATTTTTGGAGACATATACCGTTCGAAAGAGGAAATCATGCTCTTTCAGAATATATAGATATCTCAATTTTTTTGAAAAATGCACTTCCGTTGTTTCGCCAGTGGCTCTGCGCTGTGCGTGGTTTCACCAGCGGCGCCGCGCTGTGCGCGGTTTCGCCAGCGGCGCTTCACCGTGCGTGCTTTCGCCAGCGGCTGAGCGTCGTGCGTGCTATGCGTTAGGGACAAGCGATGTGTTGCACTCCCGTTACACAAAGTCCGATCTGCTTTTGGCCGCTCTCGGGAGACCCAAGTTTAGAGTTCTATTGCAGTTTTGTTGATGTAGCATTCAATTTTTTCTTTACAGTATGTTGTTCTTTTATCTTTCAGAAACGCACAGCAGCTTTTACTTTTTTCTACCGGCAATATTAGCAAATATATAAATATAATAAGACCGAGTTGCAGAGCGCGACGGAAAGCAGATCGAATTTTGTGTTACGGGAGCGGAACAGATCGAACTTTGTGTAACGGGAGCGCAACACATCGGACTTTATGTAACGGGAGCGAAACAGATCGAACTTTGTGTAACGGGAGCGCAATACATCGGACTTGGTCGTTAGGAGGCATCGCGTAGTCCACATACTTCTTGGTTAAAAAGATGGGAACTACGTGAGTCTTGCCGAAGGCCTCAGAACTACGTGTGTTTGAAACAGGGTTGTTAACGATATTTTATCGTGTAACGACGATACGACGATATCGATACGATTTTTGTATCGATATCGTAACGCGTTACTTTTTCGGCCGACGGTGATCGTTACGCGATACGATATGGAGGACACGTAACGTCGTAACGTCGATACGATACAAGCGATTTTACAGTCGGACAGGAAATCACAAGGAAAAAGGGAAAACTTTGACGAACTCAAGCACATCTGAGAAGAAACTTCTTAGATTTTAAGATCTTTTCTAAAAATTTGGCAAGTTCCTCGGCTCCGTCTGAGGATACTTCCTCAAAATCTAAAGAGAATGCCTTCAAATATGGGAGTTCCTCAGATTTTTT